AAATTTGTTAATAAAATTTTATTAACTATATACTCTTTCAACATCAGAGAAAACTTATTAGCATGAAGTTATCAGTTCCGATACTTTGGTTACATGAATATGCCTGAGCACCACAGAATACATTTTTTAATTTACAGGAAAAATAATCCTGCCAAACACTCCAACTCTCTTGAATGTTTTCTTTATAATTTATGGAGAAATCCTTTTCAGACAGTTCCTTTCATCTTGGCTAGTTTTCAAGGAGGAAAAGAACAAAGTCTCTAAAGAAATATTTCTGGAAATCAGTTCTGAAATAAAAAAAGCTTTAACCTAGGAGATTTGCATTATGCATAAGAAGAAAAAGCCCAATGCTTACTTTTCAAAATGAAAAAAAAAAAAATTATTCAATCACAACAAAAGTTAGGGTGAAAGGGAAACTGGGCAGGCCTTAGTAAACCCAGTTAAAGAGTTTCTTGGATTTCAACTTATTTCCTGGAATCACAGATATATGCTAATTGTAGAGGCAGCTGGTATAATACATAAACATCAAAGAGACCCGATGGGACTGAAAAATCTTTCATGTGATTTTATATGAATTTTCTTTAAAGAAAGAAAACTCAAAGAATGAAGATAGAAATGGAAACAAAACATATCTAAGTCCATGTAAATCAGGAAAAAGGGGCTTTGATGTATAAACTAAAAATCCCACGTACGCAGCAGGGATTGCATCTCAGACTACAAACATGGATTACATACATGTTTATGTAAAGTTAAATCAGTTCATATATTACACCTGACAATTCAAACAGGAAATTTCTTGAGAGAGGTGGAAGAAGGTGCTACTTTCTCAGCTCCTCAGGTACCTGTCCTTTTCCCAGACTGGTTGATAGTTTTTGCACAGCAGTCAACAGCATGGTAGATGAAGGGATAAAGTTTGGTATCTGGTCCAGAGGTGGAACAGTTTCTGCAGTCTTCATTGTAATATCGTAGCAACAGCTTATATACTTCTCCTGGAGAGGAAAACCAATTTACACATTAAGATATATAGGTGAAAAAAATGGTAAGAAAACACTCATTTTATCTTAATCAAAACAGCCTATAAAATTTGGCATTTGAAATAAACATGAATTTCACATGCTTGGAATGATTTCCTGACATAAAGCTAAATAATCTAAAAGCATTACTTTAAGCCAGTTAACAGCTCATATTTAGAACAGGCTATATACATGGCACCTGTCTTGTTTTGAAACTTCATGGCAACCCTAACAACATCCTTGGCCCCCCAAGGTACTGAAGTCTTTCAAGTCTAGCTAAAATACATGGTATGAGCACACTGGCATATGTAATAAATACCACTCAGAATGAGGCCTCTTAAGTTTGCATTTACCCTATCTTCCCTCTTTTTGTTTTCTGCACACACCAAAGTAGAAACTTTGGTGTCTTTACCTTATTTTAAAACTGACATACTTATTCAAGACTATAGATTCAATTTTGAGAAGAAAAGGACTCTGCTGGTGTTTACTCACTAGGAGCTTCTCTCTTAAAGCTATTATCTACATTTCTTCTGACCCAACTGTGATCTATCCAGATTTACCAAGGGCTTCTACTGGGAGATGTATAACTCAAGGTATCAAGTGTCAGGATGATCTTCTACTTACCAACAGTTAGTTTCCTCTCAGTAAGGAAGGCATGCATGCTGTAAATGTCTTTCATCAATTCTGAATCCCCAAAGGTGAAATAAACCACGTCACGTTCTGTTGCAGCAGCTGCCAGTATTTGTATTAAGGCTGTGTGGCAGAGAAAAGACAAAGCTCTATGTGATACTACTCATCAAGATATTTGTAGTGTTAGCCTAAACGTTGTCTTTTTTTAGCCATTAGTTAGCCCCTCTGACCTCCAGCCACCTTAAAAGTCTTGCAAATCAGCATGACCTTGTTAATCATCAAGAGCTGAAACAGCAATATAGTGCTTCTCATACTTGGCAGCCAAGACTTTCAGCAGCAAGACTGAGGTGAGAAAGATTTGTGGGCAACAAGATGGAAAGATGGATAGATGGTGACCTGAGGCGTCTTGCATTTGTACTAGCCACAGTTGGATTCTGCTGTTGATGACAGAAGAAAAAGCTGCTTGCTGAATTCAAACTGGAGCCTGGACTGAGTTGTGCCTTGGAATTGTTGGCTAAAACCTGGACTCATCTTGGATGATATGGAATATTCTTTGCCTTCCTCACTCTCCAACTTCCTTTGTAAATAAATCCCACTGTTGGGGTTTATAACTGTGAGCCAGCAATGAATAAAATAAGCCTTTGCTGTTGGTGGGGCTCTACAGGTACCATGGGGCTAAGCTACAGACTCTTTATCTGCCTTCTATTCTGGGGCAGTGAGGGGCTGTGTTATTCTTATTCTCTCTGGTCCTTTGCCTTCATGTAGTGTTTTCTAATCTTTAGAGACTATCTTTAGCTTTTTCCTGGTGTTCTACAGCTTTATCTGGTTAAAGAGGTTGTTGTTGTTCTGTGCTGTCGAGTTGCTTGTGACTCACAGCGACCCTATATACAACAGCTCTGAACCCTGCTCTAGCCTGAGCCAACCTTATTGTCTCTGACACACCTACGCCCAGTAACCCCAGTCAATGAGTCTTTAAGCTTACATCCTCACTCTTTAGCACTTTGTAGAGGGTCCTGACAGCACTTTCCCAGTGCAATTGATAACTTTGATTTCTGGCTGCTGGTACCAAGATTGCTGATTGTGGAGGCAAGCAAACGGAAGCTGTTAACAATCACAATCTCTTCATCTATTATGATGCTGCCAATTGGCCCAGTGGTGAGAATCTTTGTTTTCTTGATGTTGAGTGTCAATCCATACTGAAGGCTGTAGTCCTTGATGTCCTGCAGCAAGCACTTCAGGTCCTCCTCAGTTTCAGAAAGCAAGGTTGTGTCATCTACATAACACAGGTTGTTCATCAGTCTTCCTCCAATCCTGATGCTACATTCCTCCTCATAGAGCCCAGCCTCCCGGATGAACTGTTCTGCATACAGATTGAAAAGGTATGGAGATATGATACATCCCTGGCATATACCCTTACTGATTTTGAACCATGCAGTATTTCCTTGCTCTGTTCTGATGTCTGTCTCCTGGTCCAAGCATAGTTTTCGCAAAAGCACAATAAAGTGTTCTGGGATCCCCATTCTTCTCAGAGTTAGCCACAGTTTGTTGAGATCCATACAGTCAAACACCTTTGCATAGTCAATGAAACACAGAGAGACATTCTTCTGGTACTCTCTTTTTTCAGAAGCCAAGATGTAACATTAACTATAATATCCCTAGTACCACAGCGTCTTCTTAAATCCAGCCTGCACATCTGGCAGTTCTGTTGATGTGCTGTTCGTCATTTTTGGATAATTTTCAGCAGAATCTTGCTTTCATTTACTGTAATTGTTCAATAATTTCTGCACTCTGTCAGGTCACCTTTCTTTGCAATGGGAACAAATATGGATCTCTTCCAGTCACTTGGCCAGGTGGCTGTCCTTCAGATTTCTTGGCACAACTTGGTGAGTGCATCCAGGGCAGCATTTGTTTGTTGAAATATGTCAATTGGTAAGCCAATTCCTGGGGCCTTGTTTTTTTTACTAATTTCTTCAGAGCAGCTTAAACTTCTTTCATCACCACAGGCTCTTGCTCATACACTGTTTCATAAAATTCTCCTGTCAGTCAATTCTTTTTGGGTACAATGACTCTGTATACTCCTTCCATCTTTTTTTTAATGCTTCTTAGATGATTTGATATTCTGGATAAAACATCTTGAAGTATTGCAACACGAGTTTACACTCATTATACACATTATTAGAAATGGCAAGTACACTAGCATAAATCACCAAGTTGTGTGACTCTGCAGATATGTTTCTGAGATTATCATTAACTATAGAATTTTCACAAAGTGCTTTTTAGAGGTCACAAATTAAGAAAAGTGCATTTGAGCAAAACCAAGGCGTTGGTATTTTTTCTTATGTTAATCTGGAAGAAAATACTCTTTTTGGTTGTTTGGCCTGTTTTAATGAGATTGTTAATATCCTATATATCAAAAAAATTAGAATGAAGGAGGAATTGCTAAGCTACTGAAGTAAATTTTATTTCAAATGAATGACACATCTTTACTGAAGAGGAAAAAAAGAGAAAGGAGTATGTTTATTGGGAATACCTAACACAAGGAATTTATGAGCAAATTTTTTTTACTTTATACCCTTACTCTCGGGCATGGAGTAAAGAATTATAAACTTCCAACTCTTTTCACTAATATTATCATTTCTTCACTAGGTGAAGCAATTCTGAAACTGTTAAAATCCAAGACTGTAAAAGGGAGGGTACTGAGGCCAGGAATTCGGGTTTTCATTGTGGAGGATGGAGCATATACAAGCATGAAATGACAAAAAGGACTCTGTGAGTGAAGTGAAATCCAAGTTCATGTATACTTATGAAAATGTACACTTGTAGGAGCATGGACACACCTGCTCTCTATTTATTAACATGACTAGTTCCAGAGACCAGGTCATTATGGGAAATCAGTGCTAGGTCAGAGTTCATTGTACTCTGGTCTTTGGTGCACTTGTCCACCCCTCACCCTATGCCATTCACTGCACACTGAGTGCCCCTAGTGAGATTAAGATACCTACATGTGACAGGCACCCCTTCCTCACCTCAGAGTCACTGGGGTTAGGGGAGGTGGTGGTCAGGAGTTTGCTACTTGTCATAAGTCAGGGACCCTGCTTGTCTTCCTTCAGCCACACACTCAGGGTAATAACTCAATAGCACTTCACTCACTTCTTCCCACTGCCTGACAGTGAACCCTGTCCTCCATTTCCCCAGTCCCCACACAATCCCTTTTCCTCTCCTTTTCCACCAGCCTCACCACCCTCCTTAGCACCTTTGAGCCTTTATCTGGATTCATTCTGCCCACTGTAACCTCCTATCACCTTGCACCCTAGTTGTAGAAAATGCCTGAAGGCGTCCCATGGCTAGCTGGCTTCTGTCTGTAGTGTGACTAGGCTGTTCCCAGGGCCTCTAGTATATTAAATGACACACAATTGGTTTATTGTTCAGGGTGACATGTTCAGGCCCACAATGGCTCCACATGGGCACTGCCTAAGAACTTTTTTCCACTGAGTTAAATGTGAATTATGAGATAACAAGATAGTGCACAAATGAGGTTTATTTAAGTATGCCTCAACTAGCTTTATTTGCTAAAAGAGTTCAGGAGCAAAGAACATGCTTAGCATCCAAATTCCCTAATAGCATTCTTCATTAAAGGAACTGCATTCCCTGGGGAGATGGCTAGATAGGAAAAATACAAGCCAAATTCAGAACACTTTGTTATACCATAAAGTAAAGAAATGCTAAAAAAAATGATGGGAGATAAACTGATGGACTGAATCATAAATAACTAAAGAGGCAGGAGCAGGGGCTCTTGCCTTCACTAGACTGACTGGTAAATGTGGAGGTAGTGCTAGAATTGAAGTGTTATCCTTTTGCAAGCATCTTGGTAAATAATGGATCAGGCAGAAATCATTAATGGTGTTAAATCTAGGGATAAGTCTGTCTTAAAGTTTCTTCCCATAGATTACTTATTAGCTGTGAGCATACACACATGTCAAATCAACTCAATAACCCTACTGAGGAGACATGAAACAACATTTTGACTGGTGAACAAAATGTGCATCCTCATGTGGTGATATGGGCACATCTACAGATATGATGCCATGCTGAGGACCTACCGTCAGCTGTGTAGACTCTGACTGAGAATGCATAACCTTGCTCTGGTCATGCAGAAACATGGGAAAAATGAGGTCAATATATTCTTCTAAAACGTCAATGTTATGAAACACAAAGGCTGTGGAAAGACTTCTGATTAAAAAGTAGGCTAATGTGTCTTCTGGTGGCATAAATGGCTAAGCACTCAACTGTTAGCAAAAAGAATGATGGTTTCAACCCACAGCGAGATACCTCAGAAGACAGGCCTGGTGATATGCTTCTGAAAGCAGGTGTCCTTAAAAACCTCAGGGAGCAGTTCCGTTCTGCACAAACAGTGCCACCATGAGTTAGGAATCAATCGGACAGCAAAAAAAACCAAAAAAAAAAAACAAAACCAAAAACACAGGCGTATAATCCGGGAGGAAAAAGAAACTAAAACGCATTATCTGATCCTAGGCTAGATCTGTGGAATATGAATTATAACTTAGAAGAGTATTGTATATCATTGTACATTTAAAATTAGTAACTGTACTGTGTTCATGTAAGAAAATATTTTATTAAGAAATATAAAGTTCTTTAAAAAAAGGCTTTTTAGGAAAAATAGTTTGCATATGTATACATAGTATTGTTAGGTGCTATTGAGCTGGAACCCACACATGGCTGACCCTTCAGTAGGTTTTCAGTGTCTCTAAATCGCATGGGAGATGACTGCCCATCTTTCTCCCCTGGATCAATTGATGTATTTGAACTGCCTGCCTTAAAGTTGGCAGTGTAACTCCTTACCCACTAGACTACCAGAACTCCCTTATATATATACACAGAGAGGTGTAAATGTAAATTATTGGTAACATTTAATAAATTTGAGGTAATTTAAAAAAAAATGTTTCAAAAAAAGTAATTCTTTAAAAAATTCACTAGTAAATTTAAAATAATTGAGATTGCCTTGATTTAGGGGAAAAGTTTATGATATTGTAATAGAGGTAAGAGTCTAAAATACTCTCAGACTATTTCTTAATTTCTCAACTAATATTTATGGAGCATCCATA